CTGTAAGTATCTGTTTAACACTTACTTTCATAGATCCTGTTATTCAAGTGTATAATCCATGTTTTAAAATACAGATGCAGCCATTCAGCACCTGCTATATAATTGTATTTATATTTTTTAACTTTTCTGTAGAGATATGCTGTGTAAGATAAGAAAATAAAGTGTTCTAGAAATTTATAAAATTGGAACAACATTACCCTCACTTATCAACCATTTACATTTCTGATTGTTGTTATAAGATTATATTTATGTTTTGGAAGTCTGGCTTTGAAAGAATTATGAAGTGTTATATTATATAAATTTAATTTAATTTATATACTGTACTGTACTCCTTAAGATTGTAATTTACGATTGAAATAAATAAAGAATTACAGTATGTCCTTGTAAAGAAATACAAGCTAAAAAAACAATACCTTCAACTCTGTGTACACACACTTTCTTTCTTTTTTAACCTTTTTGCCTCCTAGACACTCTCAAAGGTCAAATGTACCTCCTTTCAACAAAGGTGCATTGACAGACGTCATAAAGAATACAGCTCGGAGATATTTTTGTTGAAAATTTTCATAAAGCCTTTCATCACTATCATTAAGCGAACAGCCATATACAGTATGCAAACAGCACAGCTTAACACTTGTAAGACCAATCCAGTTTTTCAAATACTCTTCATTTTTAGGTTTCCTTGCACATGATCAATTTATTGTTTAACATACAGAACTATATTTGAAATAAGATTGTTGATTTTTGGGCTGGACACACATAAAATAATTGATGTGTAACAATTCTGGTTCCTTGATGTATGAATGGTCTAAATTCACTATAATTCAAAAGTAAACTCTTCCTGTCAGTAAAAGAGCTGAAAGGAACAATATGTTACTCCTGAATGCTTTAATTCCATGTTAATAGTGGATATTACATACTTTTTATCCTTTCATTTCCTCAGTCTCAATTTGGAATTTTATGATAAACCTGTCAAATTGTCCTCTCCCTATCCTTTGCCTCACCCTTTTGAATAAACAGATCTGTTTTCCTGCAAAGATAGCATCAATGAGTGCCCTAAACCTCTCCCAGCTCTATCACCAAACTGCTGAACACCAGGAATATTGTATTTTCTTAAGATTCAACAATCTTCAGCTCAGTGGTGGTCAGTGGCTAATAATGTGACCTTATTAAAACCACAGGAGCACTCTTAGTTGTGTTTATGGTAAATGTGCAGGTGAAAAAAGTAGCATGCAATAGACTTAAAATGTGGAAATGAGGAAAATATGATACAGAATACCACATTTCTTTGTTTACTTCAAGTGTGTTCAGTTCATTCACATAATATAAATATTTTCATAAGACATTTTGTTCTCAAATACGCGACTTTGAACTTTTAAAGAAATCTCTGTGACAGTTTCTCAGTTTGTCATCTACTGATAAAAACAGACCAAAAACATTAATTTTCCAATATTACCTTTCCTGTAAATCATTTTCCAAAATTTTACCTTTATGGACCTTGTTGTTTGAACAACCTATACAAAAACATCTACCAGAGAAATTGTTTCCTTTTCACTCACTTTTACAATTAAGATTGCATGTTTTAACCGTGTACCTTGTACAGTAAGTGACAAACAGTACAGTACAATCCAACAGTAAACAGTTTAAGTTTTCTGTTAGTAGGCACTAGTTAAGTACTTCTTTTATTGTATTATTTTATTAAATTATTTTTCTTCAATTCAAAAATGACTTTGCTAAGACGATTTTGGAGGTGGAGGGGACATTGTTTTGTTATTCTCTAAGAAATTATTAACTAATAAAACTTGAGCTCCTTAGAATTTCATTGAAAATTTGAATTATAATTTATTTATGGGAATCCCAAGGTAAAACAGTTAAAATATCCTTCTGTAAATTACTGTAAATGTCATTTCATATAGGAATCACATGGAAAAGGATGGAAATCTCTAAAAATATTTGGGCTCCTGTCTTATATAAATTACACAAACAGTAAGCAGTGTTACAGATTTTGTTTTAATCAAAACTGAAATGCAGTTTCCACAGTCTCTAAAGGTCATCCTTTATGTAGGGTTGTTTAGAGAAATTAGGTCTGTCTATGCAGATCTGCCAGGTGTCTGTAATTGTAAGCAACAAGTCCTCCTTAAAACCTTTAAATAATGATTCAGTCCCATTAAACTGCTCTCTTGGGTTCAAAGAAACTGAGGAACGTTCCCAGCTGGTGGTCTTTGTTTAACTTGCTTCTGCCCCTTTTAGCTGTGACACATTAGTTTTGAAACAGATTATGCATCAGATCACTCACTTTGTACTTCTACTGAATACAAAGTGTAATAACTAAAAGACAGCTTCTCTTCAGCTGACATTAGACAGAGCTGCATAAAACAACTTTGCTCTTCCAGAAATTCCTCATTTCAATCTATCATCCAATCTTCTTCTTACCCACAATCCTCCTCATCTCTGCATTGTCCCTTCTCAACTCTTCTTTCCCTCCTCTCTCTTCGTCTGGCTCATTTAAAACAACTTTGTGTCTTTGACACCCACAGGTCTGCTACCTTCTTCTCGTACTACCCCTCTACTTCCCCACTGTTTGTTATTGTGTCCTACAGTATGTACGTACTGTATCAGTCACTAATTCACTTTAAAATAAATCCCTTTTGCACCACAACTTGTTGTCATGCTTCCTTAGTCCCTCACCAGAAACCCACCTGCATCCAAAACCATCAAATGTTACACCCCTTTACCCCTAGACACTTAGGGTCGTAGCAGTGGTGATGACAGTTTGTGAATTGACAGACATGAATTGCAGCTCTCTCACAGATCTAACTGGAGGACATGGATGGCTTGAAAGGTGTAACTGTGTTAAAGCATCTGAGTCACCTGGAATTAGCATAAAGGAACTTAAGAACAGTATGTGATATTGAAATCAAATGCAAATAATCACCTTACATTATTACATGTAATACACTTACACAAGGCAATCAAATAAAAACTGTGACATCTGCTCTTGAATGCAAGCTGAAAGCTCTGCCCATTAATTATTGTTTTGCACAGCCTTGATGATAATTACATTGAAATTATCATGCAGTCATTATTCCCTCTGGCAAGCAACAGTGCCCCTCTGAGACTGGGAAAACTTTGACTACAATTTGGCACCTTTTTTGCTGTTCCTCATCAAGGAAATCCAATTGTCTTAAAGGAATAGTTCATCTAATGTGCTCCCAACTATGCCGTATGTCTTAGATTCCACATTGCGTGCTTAATATACTAAAGATCGTGTGGGTGGATAAGACATACAATCTGAGTTTTATATTTAGGGTCATAGAAAGTGGCGATCTGTGCTAAGAATAGTCAGCATCTGCAATTAAAGTAAATGAATTGTCTGTCAGGATTAATTGCAAATTCAAGATACTTCTTAACTGAGAAAAGAAGCCAATCTGAAGAATTTTCCATTTAGTCTTCATTGATCTAACTCAAACTGGGATAGATATTTAATAAGGTTTGTAATACAGACTGTATTCAATAACTCAATGTTGCAGTCTTTAAACATTCTCTCTGCAACTTTGCATTTCAAGTAATTTTACTGTGCTTAAGAATTTCAGTTGCGTTTTTCAATTGGCAAATATTGCTAGCAGTAGTGCTAACAGCTTGTGAATACCCAGCTTAAGGTGATCATTAATGTAGCGTGGCAAAGGAAATGTGGTGATTTTGGAAGCACCCAGTCTAGTAGGTCTCTGCCTCCTGCAAAAAGACACCTAGTGAAGTTGATACAGAAAAGCCAAGCTCTGTGACACTGTGTGTGGCAAGCTGGTAATAATCTCCAGCAAAGTCTTGCTGAGGCTCAAGAGGTGTATAGCTGTAGTTTCTTGTCCTGTCTAATTAGAGCAGTAGGGTTTCTGTTGCTGTGCATAATGCAAATAACCATGGAAAGAAAACTGCAGAAAAGCCCAAAACACATGTATTCTTAAGCTTGAGATGGAGACAGGAAGGCGATTCACTGTGAAGTGTTGAAAAGTGTGATTAATTTAGGCACTCAATTCACAGCATGTCCAATAGCACACAGCTATGCTAATTGGAGCAGTGAGCATTTGTAAATTAACATGTTATTTTAATTAGAGCTGTCTCTGGTGAAAATGAAATGTTATTTTTAAATGACCTGCACAAAAAAAATTAACATTCAGAGACTGCATCATTTTAGTCTATTATCAATGCTGTTACACCATTTTTAAATAGTATTTTTAAAATGCCTTTATTGAGGTTTGTTTTTGAAGGTTAGTGCCTGACGACAGATCAGTGGATAAACTGTAATCTGTGTGTGAACTCCACTAATTTACAGGATTAAATTTACAGGGATTTTTCTAGAAAGCTAAAAAAAGTCTACAACAGTTTTATTTTATTTCTGTTTGAAATACATTAGCAGAAAACAAAGCATTTGTTTTCGTGAGGTAAACTAAAGTTGTCATACAGTAAATTGACAAATGTTGTTTAATGTACTGTACAGAGTAACAGCCATACTTCATTAAATGGAGAAAATGTTTAATGCTTTTCTTCTTCACAATGTGATTGACAAGAAAAATTTAAGATTCTGTTGATGTGCTCTTAAGATTACTAGATTTCATACAAACCTTTTATCTTAATCATTTTAGCCATAGTTAACTCATAACTTTCCACAAATCTAAATTTGAGAGTGTTTCAAACAGTACAATGATACAATCTTTTTGATTTATCTTACAGTGATTCAAACTGTAAAGCAAAGCAAGAGAGATTAAGATTAAAGATTTCTAAATTATGGATAAAACAAAATTATTCAAAAGAACTTTAGAATTCACTAAAGTCCACCATCACTCATTATAGTACCTCTTTGTCCACATACAATACAGTATCTACTGTCCACATTTATCCATTTATCTATATTTAGTTGTATAGGTCTTACTGCAGTTTTCTGCATTTCTACAATTTAGTAAAAATGTATAAAATAAATAAAAAAACAAAGAAAACATTTCTGCTCTTACTTGTGTCCCCCACACTAGATGGATTCCGGGTCAGGTATTCTCCAAAAACAGGTCTGTGGGACCTTCGAGTCCCATTCTTGTGGAAATGCCATCGCAACATTAGCTCATCCCATCCAGCCAGCAAACAGCTTCCACATTCACAGCAAACAGCATGACTGACAGAGCAGGCAGCTTTCTTTGTGAAGGCAGAGAAGAGTAGGAAAAAAAACACTTACAAGCATACAGAGCGCACTGTTACTCTAGTAATTTCCCTCAGAAAGCTCCAACTCAAGTGAAGTTAGAGAGGGCAGGCAAGATGCTAAAACGCCAAACAATACCTTTGTTTGAGCTCAGTTTCACTCCTTTGAATACATCCCGAGCAGTGTCAGAAGAGGACACTCTTTCCCTCTCTTGCTCTGAACTCAGAACGGGGTTCTGCTCACAAAGGGATGTGTAATGTGTGTCACTTCACGACATCTGTGATTGCGGGAGATTGCTCTTCCTTAGTTCCAGCCTTCACAAAACAGGGTGAGAAAGCAAATGAGAAAAGCAAAGTACGAACTCTGGAATTATTCCATAGATAAATATGAAAATGCTTTCAAAACATGCCACTCAGGCATGGCAAGTGCTGTTTCATTTTTAGTTTTTTATTACTCCAGGGTATTTTGTGCAAACACAGTTCTTATTCAGCGATAGAACAACATCCCTTATGCAAGTTAACCATGGCGACACAATATATTCTTAATTTCAGTTCAAAATAAAGATGAACATACTAAAGAATGTTTTGACTGAGAATGAGATTGAATTATTGCTCTTATTCACTGGTAAACAATTGATACTTCCCATCAGGATGCCTTTCTTACTGCTTAGTATCTTCACTGTACTGTTCTAAATCTTACTATTTTATTTTGCCTAATTTAGCACTTGGATAGCACTTCCAACTTGTGCTAGACACATTGTCATTTTATTAACTATTTATGTACACAATAGGTACTATGCAGTACTTCTCTAACATGAATTTCATATGTATTGTACAGTTAGTTATCCTAGATGTGAGAATCTGCAAACAGATGGGAATATGCAGATGTGAGATTACGAAAACAAATTAAAATAGAACAAAATTGTCATTTACAATAGGTGTTTCTAATGAAACTTAACTTTGTAATGAAAGAGCACACCATGCTACACAACAGTTTGAGTATTTTATTTGTTTTTAATATGTTCGCAGTAGTTCTGTTCATATAGTAGCTTTGCCAAAATCTTTAAGTACTTAATTGGTTCTGAAAGAGGCTAAAGCTGTCAGAATGAAGGCAAAAGAAAGTCAGATGCTCTTTTTACACTCAAAGACAAACAGAGTTAGATACGGATAAAGCAGAAATATCAAAAAAATAAAAGCCCATATAGTGTGATATGTGTCAGATGTGAAATTAAATAACAGACTAATGAAGATTATAGATATTATGCCATTGAGAATGAAGTGAGAAGGCCCACCACCTGTTTCAGGTATTTACCTAGGATTGGTGTGGTTTTAGAAACATGGTCCAGAAGGCACTATAAAGCAAATAATTGAAATTATTAAAATTGCCCTTCATTGAAATTAAATTTGCCTTCAAGAGCATTCAGGTTCACAATATGTGCAAGAATAATCCCACAATGCACACAAAGATTAGGTCCCAAGTCTAAGAGCATTACACACACATTAAAAAAAGATCTTTTTTTTAAAAAGTTATCTTTTGGTTTACCCTTAATGTATTTTTTCGGTGCATACAGTATATGCAATTAAGCATTTCTTTGCACTTATGCATATGGCAAATAAACAGAAGTGAACTAATCCTTGGTACCTGCTGTACAGTATAAGAGGGCAAGTAGATCTGAAGTATCAGTTAAGGGGTTAAGCCACCAGACCGTGTTGGTGAAACACCCCAGATACACGCAGGAATAAGTTAAGATCGCATACGAGAGAGAGTCTTTATTATCCCTGGGGGGGGGCGGCAAGTTGTTTAATTTACATAAGTTGTTTAGAGGTTCATAGAGAACTAGCTTCACTAATGTGAAGCCAGACTCCCTATATAAGGTTAAATGTGGCAGCAAGTAATAGAATCTCAGGGGGAGGCTCTTGAAGTCGGCTTACAGGGAGCTAGACCTCACTGTCACGGGGACAATCAGAGACCCAGTCTCATGGTCAGAAGCTGGATGACTCAGGGAAGACACGGGAAGACTCTGTGGGAAGCTAGACCTGCACTGTCGTGGGGACAATGAGAGACTGAGTCTAGCAGTGAGATGCACAATGAGTGGGTCCTCACTAGCAGGTATGTCAGTGAGGGCTGACCAGATTAGATCCTCACAGCCAGAGGGACAGTGAGAAGGAGATGAGGCATGAGAAACATCGTAACACCAGAAGGGGGAGGATAGAGCAAAGTCCTGGATGGATTGATCAATGTAACAGGGATGTCTGAGTGAAAGAAAGGCGGCTTGAGGTGAGGTGATGTCCACTCCAGTTGAGCAAGACATGTCAGGAGCTTGAGGGGAAGCTCAGTCTCCTGGTAAGACACTCATAGTAGTGGAAGGTTAACTGCTCCCAAGATAGAAAACAGCTGGGAGGAGGGGGCTCCTAGATATAGACGTTTAAGGTTACTGGGAGAGGGGGAGGCTCACACAGTAATTGCAGTCTTGGTCGCTGTCATGTCTGCTTGCCAGTTAGTACAAAAATGGGTAAGGTACAAGTCCAAGCAAAAGGAATTGACCAGGTTGAGGTTATTTCCACTGCTACTCTATATGAAAGTATAGTTAAGTAGGCATGCAGTTGAAGACTGAGGTAAGGTCAAAACATGGTTTAAAAACAACAAATACACTCCGGATGCTACCTAAATTAGGTTAAAATGGAGGAGAATCTGTCAGATTTCCTCCATGCTTGGCTACCATCCAGGGGGATCTGATACAGTACTACATATTACATCCACTTCAAGAAGCAACCATACTTGATCAACTTCAACAATTTACAGTTTACCTATTTTATCTTCTTTAATGCTGCTACTCTCAATTAAAAAGAAGGAATCCAAGCAGCCAAATGTTATTCATTGGCAATAGGTATTTTACAATGTCCTCAGTCACATCATTATACTGTTATGTAGTTATGTTAATAACTACAGCATTTCACTAGCCACTCTTATTAGCTCTCTTGTGTTTCAGGTGCTTTAGTAAAATTAGAATTTGGACGTATGGTAAAACCATCAGGCAGAACCCATCCTTCAGTAAGTTACACGTAGTTCAGTTGCATTTTGTTTTTGTTTCAATTGTTACAGTAGGTTCTTTCTTGATATTTTTGCTTAGAATGACAACAAAGCTTGGCAGATTTTCCTCACATTTAAACATCAGGAATTGGCCATTGCTAATCACTGGGTTGCTGCTACAAACCTTTTGTAGTGCACACAGATCATTTGGAGGTCTGCAGTCCTCTGACATACCCACATCCACTAGATATTTGTCCTTTGACACACTTACATATTGATCTTATAGGAGAGTAAGCATTATCTAGTGATCTCTCACTTGTGTCTCACTGAAATCTTACAGACACCTGGCAGATCTCAAGAGCACCAACAAGCCAGGATAATCCTGATCAATCCAAAGAGAAATTGGTAGAGCTCAGACAATTGTACACTGCCACTTGGGGATTTCTGGCTGCAGATGAGCTGATTAATATTAAGTCCAGGATCAATCTAGGCACATCTGTACTATGGAAATCAACCTAGTTAAATCATTCCAGAGTCCCATAAAATGTATAGCATCTACAGTAAATGTTACAGCTTGTCCTGAATGTTCGCTTTATGTGCACTCATAATTTTCGTAAGAATATTTGTGGTTTAGACTTTATAATGTACCCCAAAGGTGTTAAGAAAATGAAAACGGTGAATGTGTGAGTGCTTACACAAAAAAATAAATGAAGTGGTTACTGTACAGTAAGGTGCTTTGGTGTGATTAATCATAGGTAAGCAGTGTTTCTGTATGAATGCTAGTTATTATTGTTTCTTTTGTCTTTTATTCATGAAAAGGGTAAAAGTAGGGGTTACATTTTTGAAGTCTAGAATGGATTATAATTTTTCCCCATAAGAAATAATGGAAATAGGTTTTTCTTTTTACTATTTTTTGTTATACAAAACGGTTTCTAGGAAGGAATTTAGTCTGTAAAAGGATGTACTGGTCTATACTGTATCTAGGAAATATACTGTAGAATAATATAAACAGTAAATACTGTACATACATAGGAGATGTTCCACATCATGAAATGTAAGAACAAGCACCTGTAAGACTCTATTCACTACAATAAGGGGAAAAAGGATGGGATGTCAATGCAAGCAACAATAGGAGTCAAGGTTCAATAAAGTCTTTTTATTGAGGTGTATGTGTTCACCACTGCTACCTGCATCCTAATAAGACATTCTAAAAGAATCCTTTCTTTACTTTGTTTAGCTTGATTGCACTGAACATCAGACATGACCAAAGAGTAATTCCTTATATTTTTGACAGCACCATGGCCCTGGATAATAATTAGAAATGCCCAAACAGCCAATTCTTATCCCTACACTGTCTATAAAGACTCATTAATGAACATTTCATTCTTCATCTGTATCAACTCCGCTCAGCAATATAGTCTTGCAATTGAATGAGTAAAGATCAATTTATTGAGCAGGGATCTGGCAGTAAGATATTGAGTAGGAGTGACCTATGTGCATATAGAATTGAGTGTGTATGTACAAACACCACTTGACACGAAAGCTGGAACATTTCATTATTAAGAAATATCCTGTCCAAACAGAAAGTGTACCAGTGTCTGTCCTTGGGTTCATCATAGATATATACAGATATATATAATATGTGTTATCACTGTGACTGTAAACAGATCTATTCTAAGAATCTACAAGACCATTTATTAACTGCAACAACTACTACAGTATATAAATGTCATGTGCTTTACCAGTTTCAAAACACAGCCACACTGTCTACTATATAGCATTGTGGCCTTGCTTGAAAAGCTTTAAACTAGAAGGCATTGACCAACTTTCATCTCCTTTTGGGGTTAATGTAAACCAGTTTTGAATACACATAAAGTGTGA